CAAAACAGCTACAATGTCACTTTAGGACTACCAAAAAAAAATCATTGAATTCTACAGTTTTGCCACACGTAAAATGCTTCCCACCCAGCTTTGGGAATCAGAAACTTATGTTGGTGTAAAAAAGAGCAGATGCAGTTCTGTAGTGTAGCCGACAGATTCTCAGTTCAACTCATCAGTGACATATTTGGATTTTTCCAGCTGGCAAGATGTGAGTTAACATTTTCCCTTATTATTTAATCTACAAAATTAACCTCTGTATTTTTTGGATTTTGAATATTCAAAACATACATTAAAGAAGCATATATATTTTAAGCGGGTATCACATCGTGTGATTAATATATTCTGTGGATTTTTTAAAATTATTTGTTTATCTTGAAGGAATAAAAGATACACCAAAGCCATGTTTTACAACTCCTTGTTTACATTTCTATCACAGACCTGTTAAATTGATATGCTCTAGTTTAACCACAGCTTTTGGGCATGACGTAGGAATTACTGGGTAAACTTCTAAGGCCTGTTATTGCAAGAGCTCAAGCTTCAGGATCACCGCACTCCCTCCAGGCCTAAGAATCTATAACTAAAAACCACATTTATCCCATTTTATGTTGTACTTAATACTTGTGACCTAAATTACACTGTGCTTTTAAACAGTTACTATGTAGCATAACTTCAGTGTGGCATGTATATGTTATTCTGCCTACTATTTTTCTAGTAGCAGTTTCATTTTGATCTGAATGCGCTGAATACTATTACTGACTCACTCAGCTGTTTCTTTTTACTTCAGAAGCTGTTAAATGGCGCCTCCTACCTGCCAGCTATACAGAATCGGCTTTACATGCTTCTACAATGGAATTAGTGCCATGATCTTTTGACAACCAAGTTCATATTAGTTCTAATGTCTTATGTAAAGGCAGTCTTCAAATGGCCTGATATTCCCCCACCCCCTTCTCCATCCAAAGCAAAGAGACCCTAAACCTTCTGTGCATGAAACGTGACTTTCCCACGTGGATAAGAGTGGGAAGCTGCTACTGAAATGTCTCTTTATTATATGTTCCTTAATTTCCACCCCCCAGGAGCCTTCCCCTGGAAGCTCCCGTTAGGCCAGAATTCAAGATACCCTCCCACTTGCTGATCTCCTGCAGCGTGTTCAGAGCCCACTATGTTTAAAGGTCATGAGCGCAGAAAGTTACCAGCTGCTGATTTACAGCCCATTGGTGCCCTATTTCCTGTTTCTGACACTTATTGTCACAACCAAGCACAGAGAGCGATGTGGTGAACACAAGTCCTAGAAAGACTCCATCTGAGTGTCCTGTTTCTGTTCCTCTAGGAATAACCCTGACCACTTGTCTCCCCTTCTGTGCTTCTCCCATGAGGCCAAAGCAAAATAATATTGTGGGGGAGGGACAGCTGGATGTAGCTGAGGAAGCAACCTTCAGCTTGTCCCAAAATAGAGGTATGGGCATTCCCTAAATTTCCATTTCGGTGAAGTGAGCAAGATCAGGCATCATATAAATGTTAACCAGATTGTAATTGTACTGCAGTGCTGGAAAAGGGTGGTGGAAGTGGAAGTGAGTGTCTTCCTATCATTCCCCTTCTCGTTACCTGGCTCTAGTGCCCATTGAAGACCAGGGACAAAGGAAAACACACTATCAAGTTGGCAATCCCTGCTTGCCATTGTGAGGAACAGGGGGCAAAGGGGCCCAAAAGCCTCCTTGGTTAAACAGAGAAATCCAGGGAAGTCTAAGGGCAAAAAAGAGGCATATAGGCAGTGTAAGCAGGGGGAAGCTACCAAGCAGGACTATACCTGCTTGGCCCGCTCTTTCAGGGAGGCAGTTAGAAAGGCCAAAGCAACTAAAGCAACTAAATAACTGAGGCTGGCAACAGGAATGAAAGACAACAAAAAGTCATTTTTTAGGTATGTAGGGAGAAAAAGAAAGGCACAGGGCAGCATAGGACCCCTAGTGAATGAACAGGAGCAGTTAGTGACAGACAGGGGGGACAAAGCTGAGCTCTTCAATGAGTTTTTTTGCCTCATTGTTCCTGAATAAGGGTCAAGACAAGTCCCCAGATGGGTTCTTAGATGGGCATCAGAGGAACACCAGCCTACCAAGTGTCGATGCTGACTTGGTGCAGAGTCATTTGGATGGACTGGATGTGTTTAAGTCGGCAGGCCCAGATGAGCTGAATCCGAGGGTGCTGAAAGAACTGGCTGGTGTCATAGCAGAACCACTGGCACAGCACTTGGGTCAGGTCCTGGAGGACTGGAAAAGGGCCAATATGGTCCCTATTTTCAAGAAGGGGAGGAAGGAGGATTCGAGTAATTATAGGCCAGTTAGTCTCACCTCTATCCTTGGAAAAGTCTTTGAAAAAATTATTAAGGATCATATTTATGGGAGTGCAGCTGGAAAAATAATGCAGCAGGGCAATCAGCATGGATTCATAGCAGGTAGATCATGCCTGATTAATCTTGTTTCTTTTTATGACTAGGTCACAAAATGCTTAGGCACAGGAGTAGAGGTGGATGTTGTTTACTTGGATTTTTGGAAGGCCTTCGATGCAGTATCTCATTCTATTTTCATAAATAAATTAAGAGGCTGTGACTTAGATGATTACACAGTCCCGTGGGTGGCAAATTGGCTTGTGGGTCACAGATACACATACCTAGACAAAATACTAAAAGCCCTCTAACATTTTCCTGCCTCAGTTTCCATACCACACTGAAGAGTTCTTTGAACTTAGGACAGAGTCCTCTATGGTGTCTGAACACTTCTGCTTACAACTTCTGCTTGTCCTCCAAAATCATGGAGTCTCTCTATGTCCCATGTCAACTTCATTTAAAGCTGAACAAGTAAGCAGGTCTCCCCACATACACATAGCCACCCCACAAAAAAATTCCCAATCTTTCTGTCCTGGCTATATCTTCCTGTCTCTCAGAGACCTTGCTCTCAGCCCCTCCTACATATCCTATCATCAATACCTAAATTATTTGCTATTCTTCTGGTGAAATTTCACAGCTCCAAGATCACTCCCTATAGAAAAACTTGGTCTGGCTTAGTTCCTAACTCAGACATCCTCCTTGACATAACCATTGCTCCATGATGCTCTTACCTGAATGGGAGCCATCCTCTTGAGAGATCTGACACAGCACTGCCAGCACACAGGGGAATCCTACAAAGACCGAAACATTTCATCTACAATGTATAAGTTGTGCAAAGATAGATTCCCCACACTTGAAGCACACGCTTATTGTTAAAAGTCAGTTGCAAGTGAAATTGTGTGCCGCTGCCACCCCCCATCCCCTGCCCAGAAGGTAAGTCTGTGGGGAGGGAAGGGAAGGGCCAGATCAAGGCAGAGGGAGAAAAAATTATTTGGGGGCATGGTTCCCCAGCAAGTAAGTCCCACCCAGCCAGGGCCCCACTCAACTTATCCTGCTTCTGCCTCTCCGGCACGGGCCCTCATCACAGGGGCCTCGATCTAGCCGCTGCCCCTTGCCTCCCCCATGGATTCACCTGCTAGGCTGGGGTGCATGCACGCATGCATGCAGGCACTCAGCCCCCCACCCCAGCCTTGGATCATCTCCAGGAGATCTCCAAGATCTACCACTAGAGGATCTGAGATCTATCGGTGGATCGAGATCCACTGGTTAATGACCACTGATCTAATTCAGAGGTTCCCAACCCCCAGGCCATGGCCTGGTACCAGGCCAGAAAGGGTTGGCAGCTGAACCAGAAGTCTGGAAGTGACTAGCGTACTGCAGAGCAGCAGCCAACTCTTTTTTTATATTGAGTAAAAAAGGGTTGGCTGCCACTCAGCAACATGCCGGTCACTTCTGGACTTCTGGTTCAGCCGCCAACCCTTTCTGGCCTGGTACTGGGCCCGGGGCAGGACTTTTATACTGAGTATCAAAAAAGGTTGGCTGCTGCTCCACAGTATGCCGATCACTTCCGGACTGCACTTTGCCAGTCCTCAGTTTGCTGGTCCGCAGTCACTTCCACTCCACAGTTTGCCAGTCTGCCATCTAAAAAGGTAGGGAACCCCTGTAGTACCTCATTTGACCAGAATTAATTTTTCATATGATTGGTCATCTTAAAAGTGCGTTGCAGCCATGCACGTGTGTCATGTCACAGCTGTAGTGTTTTCACGGTCCCAAATGCATGAACAATATTACTTGGGTAGGCACCCACTGATGCTATTCTTTGTGTGCGTTCCAAACACTTTGCTCCTGGCCCACTAGAGCTAGTGGGTGCCTATACTCGTGCTCCAACGCGTTCTTTCCCTCTCTCTCTCTGCTTGTATAGGACCCGGGGCTTGAGGTTGAATGGTAAAGAGGACACAAGTAACAGGAAAAGGCTTCTTCATGAAAATGAAATGCAGGACTAAAACTTCCCAGAGCATCTAACTAGAATGCTCCAGCGTGCTGCAGAGTTCCAGGTATTCAGCATGCTTTAACTAAAGTGCAGGGCCACTTAATTAAAGCGGCAGGAGTTCTCTAATTAAAACATGCCCTCCCATCCCCCCAACTCACCTGACCCCTGAAGCATGCATATGAGCACCCAGTGAGAGTTAAGAGCAGTCACCTTCCAGGATCATGTCTCTTCTCACTGACAGATCCCAGTACCCACTGAAGAATTTTTACTAGTTGGAGGTGCAGAAGAACATCTCTGTCACTGAAGGATCAGAGCTTCCTTCTCCTGCTGCATCAGACTAAGATAATTGTTGAGATTATCCCAGAATGCCCAGTAAACACAATCCTGCAACGTGGTGAGTGCACATGTTTGAAGAGATAGGGGAAAGCTGAGGCAATATTATATGTAACTATTACAATCTTTTTCTCCTGTACTGTGATTTAACTCTTTGTTGAAATACAAGCCAGAATTTGGCCTTGCAGGGCTTATAAAGCATTAGGCAGAGTTAAGCCTCTGGGATATTGCAGGTAATACCCTGATAAGTAGGTGTTAATAGTTCCCAGACAACTGAGGAAGTACCATACAGTTTTTTAATAAACTAAACATTTAATATGCTCAGGAATCATTATATACAGAGAGTATAAAACATTATAAATAGTATTTCAATGGATGATATGAATAACTTTCAAGCAAAGCCTTTAGTAAAAATACTGGTTTTCCTCACGCAGACTTCCCCACTTTGAAGCTATTAAGAATTCAAAAAAAAATTTCTGACATAAAACTTCTACCATTGTGCTTTCAGACATACATGTGAACATAATATTTCATATGTCTCACCTTCATAACAGAGAAGAAACTTTCCAAGTATTTCAAAATCCTCTTAGCAAACCATCTATGGATCTCTATGGAGGTAAGACATTCCAGCTCTTAAGTTAATAGCTGACAGGTCCTTAGGGGCTGGTGAAACAGAAATCTGTAGTCGGAATGCAAAATGGTACAGAATGGGGAATTAGCACCTAAACTATCCATTCCCAGGATCCCTATTAAGAGTTGTGCTATAGGATACCACCTTTTCCCCATGTATCCAGGTAAAGTAGGTAACCGTAAATAAACCACTCCTCTAACTCAGCTTTGCTCTTCTATCTTTGAGAGAAAATCCAAGCTTAAAGCAATTAGCTAGCAGAGAAATATGAACTCCATGTATGGTATAGCTTCTGCAAGTGACCATTGCTCACCTCCTTACTCTTCCTCTAGGTCCATAAAGACCGAGAAGTGGACAACGCATTACAATAGCAGAGGGCTTCCCTATCAATGTAAAGCAGGGATGGCAAGCATCTGTCTCCAAAGAGGTACAAAATCTGTGATCTAGTCCTTACAACACACAGTTCAGTCCTGAACTGAGCAGCCATTGAGCCTTACTACTTTGGAAACAGCTACTGAATATGTCATTAATGAGCACATACTATTTCTGGGGCCTTCTTGCTAAGTTATCCTGCTCTACACTTTGCACACTTACAGACACATATATTCCCACTAGATATCATTTTTCCTCCCCACTGTCTTTGGATCAAATTCAAATGCTGCAGAATAAAGCATGTGGGTTACATGTGGGCTATAGCTGATTCAAACATTTAGTTTGTGTTTTGCACTCATAAAATATTGAAGACAATGATAAGTTTCTGTTTTCATCAATTTTTCATGTTTTTATCGAAAACCCCAAATCCCCAAAGGTTTCACTTTTTCCACACCACTGTCCTTCAATTCATCTATCAAAAAACTCTACTTCTGTTGGAAAAAAATGCTTTGAGCTGTTTTTTTTGAACAGCTCTAGCTTGCATGAACATGCTAGCAAAAGCAGAAATACTGTGTGATGGCACACTTGCCGTATTTTCTCACATACAACACATCCCCAAATAAAATATGTGCTTTGTTTTTAGAAGGAAGAATGTAGAAAAAAAAAGATTTCCCTAGTGTCATGGCCAACTGTGAGACATAAAATAAGTCCTCTTAGGAATGTAGGGTGCATCTACACATGCAATTAATGTGCCTGACTGTTACCGCACAGTAAATTCAGGCACATAAAGCTTTGCTAAGGTCCAGGGCTGCTCCTGCCCTGCTTTGCTCCCACTATTGCAGCTGCCTGGGTGCTACGAGTGCTCTTTAAAAAGCTGCCTCATGCCTTGCTCCCTGGCAACATGCTTCTCTGGCCTGGCGCAGTTCTCCAGGACACTATTCCCACTATTCCTCAGTGCACCATGGCTGCTCCTTGCCTGGCCCCCAACAATGACAAGCACTCGCCACACTCTGGAGCTGAACTGACCACCTCCCGGCCCTACTGCACTGCAACCCCACCTGGCCCACCCTGCTGTGTGGCCATGAACCTGGGCACAGGGTCCAGCCTAGGCCCTGCCAGCCCCTGGGCCACCTGCCAGACCCCAGCAGGAATGCCGATGATACCAATATAGATGCTGCTGTGGCTGCCGTCCACAAGCTCCTTGAGGTCTGACCTTGCCTCCTCTGGGCCCACCCCAGCAGTTGTGACTGGTGGCACCACATTGTCCAGCACACCTGGAATGATGGCCAGTAGCTAGACTCATTCTGGATGACCCAGGCCACATTCCAGGAGCTCATGCAGCAGCATGGCTCACATCTGGAGTGCCAGCCCACCACCATGCACACATCCCCCCCCAGAGAGACCCAGGTGGCCTCCACCCCACTCAATCTTTCCATGCCTGCCAGCCTGTGATAAGTTGGGCACCTGTTCAGGGTGGACAAGGCAACTGCCAGGGAGTCCATCTTGGAGGCCTGTGGCATCCTCCAAGACATGCTGAGCTACACTAAGCTCTGGGTTGCCAACCCCCTGGAGGTGGTGGCAAGTTTCTGAGCCCTCAGCTTCCTACAGTGTATCGGGACCTGGGACAGGGCACACATTCCTGTCACCTGCCTGCCCCAGGCAGACCACCCCTAATACAGCTGGCAGGGCTTCCACTCTCTCATGCTGAAGGCCGTGGTCGACCACCGAGGTGACTTCATAAATATCTGTGCTGGCTGGGCTGGGAGCACACACGATGCTTGGATTTTCCAGAACTCTGCCCTGCCAGCCCTGGTAGACAGCAACCACTTCACACCAAATGTCTTGGCCCTGCAGCTGGACAATGTAACCATCCTGCCCTTCCTCATCAGGTGGAGATCTACAATCCATGAAAGACTATATATTACTCCCACATTAAGGGAGTGATGTCTATATTGGACTGCACATAATAGCTCCACTTGGTGATTCCTGCCATAACAATGTCAAGGGTGCTCTGGAAAGAAATGCTTTAATAAGAACAGAATACTAGACCAGTACTCCGCTGGAATAAATAAGACAATGGAGCTATGAAGTTTATACTAGGATCTGAGCCCAATTATTGGATGTGCAGTGTTTCACATAACCATTCATAGTCTTCTGAATGGAGCTATAAGAAATTCAGAAGTTTCGTTCTCTGGAATCTTGTCTGTTTTTTCTTTTGTCTTTTTTTTTTTTTTTTCCGGTTTGTTTCAAATTCATGAAATTTCCCACTCAGGTCACTTTTTGTATAAACATTTCAACAGAACAGCTATTTCATATTTATGTGACACATATAAAACCCTCAGGAATATCCTTGTGTTATCACCTTCCCAAAATTAACCCATTTGCACTTTAAAATGCCTGTCCTGTTGCAGAACTTTAACATGAAGGGGCCATTTAGAAGTTTCTTAAAGAACACAAACCATTTCTTTAATTTTAAATATGTAGTAAAGCCAGAACCCTACTTAAGTCCACAAAATCACAAACAGCATTTAAATAGGCATAGTAGATCCCTTCTGACCATGCTTAGAACAAGTCTAGTCATGCAGGTAAATATAGGAACTAAAATCTACTGAAGAAGTTAAAATGAGTTACACAGTGGTACATTTGAACCACCTGTTTGATTCTTGCTCCAACCCAACTTTAAAACTAACTATCATTGACAGTCCCTTGATTCCTGATGGTCAGACTTGGGCCCTGGCTGCAGTGATGTGGTCTAACTGCCTGCAGTATCCTGGGATGCAGAGGCACAGTGCCTGGCCACCTGGACATTGGCCCCCTCTGGGAAGGAGCTGGAGGTGTTCACTGTTGGAGCCTTCCCTGGCCTGTCTTCCTTGCTTGAGGCCCAATTCCAGAGTAGCTGGGGCAGGTGGTAGCTTGGGCTCCAAGGTGAGGCCATGGCCAAGGCAGGAGCCAGGACTTAGCACTGTTGTCCCAAGGGACTCTCTCCCACTGAGCCCCTCCCTGGGCCAGAGCACAGGCTCCAGCAGCCTTCCCATGCTAGAATACATGTGGCGGGCCCTGCCCGGGTCCCATGGTGCCAGGATCTGGTCCAACTGCCGCATGAAGGGCATGGTCCTGCGGGCAGCCCCAGACCAATGATTGTGGTCCATGACTCACATCCACTGGGCCCCAGGCTCTTGACCTTCACACGGCATTGGCAGTCAGAGTGCTGGTGGCTGTGTTCCTGCATGTGGTCTGACATGACAGCATAGATGTGGGTATTTGCCCTGGTGGCCTAGCCAGACTGCCACTGGATCTCCATAGCGCCCCAAATCATGATGAGGTTTGTGGTCTCCTGCTCCATCCAGTCAGGGCTCCAGGGCACTGTCTTCAGTGTTGGGGAGGCCACCATGGCAGCTGCTGCCAGGGGCCTCGGGGGGGCTCAGGCCAAGGCTGCGGGTACTGGTATCTGCTGCCACATGCCCTCAGGGGTGGGGCATGGTGGCTGGGAGACAGTATTTACCCTGTGGAGTCCTAGGTGGCACAGACCTAGGGGTCTGTGGAACTGCAGGGCCCAGCATAGTCTGTGTCCAATGTCAGCATCTACACGTGCGCTACTGTGCATTAGTTAATATGCTGTTTATCTAGTACCTGCATGTGTTGGTACTAGCGACTAATTTAATGCACAGTAATTGCTGCACATGTGTAGATTGTGACACTTTACCATACATTAGAGTAGTCTAATGTGCAGTAAAGCATCTCATTTAGATGTGCTCATAGAGCATCCAAGAAGTGTGGCATCAGGAACCTCTTGATGCCTGCTACTTCACCCAGAATATCTCCTGGGATGCCACACTTCCTGGACACACTGTTTTCAGGAGGACTTACTCTGTGTCACACAAAGTTAGGCACCAGACCCAGGCAAGAGCAGTAACAAGACTCTTAGGGTAGGGCCTTGTTACGTGTTAATTTTGGCAGCTCCTGGAGCACTTAACAACTGGATTGTCCATGAATTAACACCTGAAACTAGTTAGGTGGCTTAAAGTTAGGTGGCTTAAAGTTACACCACTCCAGCCTAAATTTAACTCTGATCTGTGTTATCCAGCTCATGTTACACTAACATGTAGCCACTCTAGGCTACACCTTAGTGTAAAAACCCCACCCTCCCACCCCCAACACCCTACCCACTCCCCTCCTGCTCCTCCCCAAGCATTACTTCTGGCAGCCCACAATCAGCCACAAGTAAGCAAGGAGGAAGTAGGAGGAGCAGGGGGGACCCTGAGGGATGGGGGCAGGGAGCCCTGGAAGTGGAGGAAAGCCTGAAATGATAATGGGAGGGATTCTTACCTTTCAGTCCTCCAGGCCCCTTCTGGCCTGAACATGTGACTGCTCCAAACTTGATCTAGCACTAACACCCAGTCAACATTTGAGCAACTCACAATGAAACATGTAACAAGACCCTTAGTCTTTACCATAAGTAATTCTTTATATATATTCTTATAAATATACTGTTCTTTCCACATCACTAGCCATATTTAGATACTATCAGCAGTTCACTTGCTACTTCAGGCACAAGCTACAATACTCAGCCAATAACTACAGTCATGAGAGAGTTAACACAGGACTCTGCTATCTTGCCAACAACCTTGGCCGCTGCATGGCATGCTCAGTGTCTCCAGGCTTGCTTTTTTTTCCAGAAA